AGACCCTGCCCCGTGAGACTCCCAAGGGAGTTCTCTCCCTCCTTGGGCAATCGCTCCCCCACAGGGGTCAGCCTGGGCTCCCCAAGTGCTCCACACCTCAGTCCCACCATCTGGGGTTGACTCTGTTCCCCAAAACCTACTGGGCAATGTCTAGAGACATTTTTGGCCATCACACGTACGGCGGTGACACTGGCACTCAGTGGGGCATGCTCCAGGAAACTGCTGACCACCCCACAGGGCAAGGCCACAGCAAAGGATGATTCGGCCTAAAATGTCAATGATGCAGAGATTGAAAACTCTGAAACTCACTGGCAACCAATGGAAAAGGCAACAGGCAGAATGTTCCAGGCGATCTGGTCTGTTCTGCACCTCAAACACCGCTCACGTTTCTCCCCAGGACGTTCTGCCTTCCCGGCCCCCGGAATTTCATGGTAATCCCATTGCTCTGCACTAGCTGTCCACCCTGCAGAATAATCATCTCCCAAGACAACACTTACATATTTATAGCAGCAGAGCAAGTAAGAAGTGGAAAACTTAGCCATAGGTAAAAGAAAATAAGCATGAGACTACCAAGTAAATCCTTGAGATGCAAGCATTATATTGTCTACATGAGTGAAATATTAGTGTTTTTTTCTGGGTGCCCTAAGCCAATGATGGCAAACCTTTTAGAGCTTCCAATGTTACAAACAGCCTGCTATGGCACACGTGCCATAGGTTCGCCACCACTGTGCCATAACCCTAGCTCCCACCCAGCTGGTTGATTACACCCCTCTCTGCTAAACACACACACGTGACCACCGGATTTCATAAAATGATTTTAATAGAAAAGTACAAGATATGAATAAAAATAAATAATCTTTATCTCATTTCTAGCCCAGCAAATTGTACACTGCATATAAAAATGGTCTAAATGCGATTTCACCCCATTCCTTTTTGGTTTTGAAATACTGAGACAGCATTTTCATTCAACTTTCTAGACTCAAATCCATACACTCTTTTTAAAAAACATCATACCACTCTTTAATCATTCTACACTCATGTTTTAATGTCAATTAACAAGGTGTTTCCCTAAAACAGTTTAGATCACCAGGTTTAAGTGTAAAGTTTATGTCAATAGGTAAGTGATAAGATCCCATTTATAAGTTTCAACTCCTATGCTTCTGAATGTTTCCTGAATTTAAAATGTATTTCATCATCTTATTTTCAAAACATGACCTCTCATTCTTACCATTCCATAGAGAGAGGGGTTAGACTAGAAAATACTTATTTTTAAAAAAATAAATATTTTAATGTATACTTTACAGTGCTAATGCAGTACTGTAGACCTGCACGTTGGTGGTCCTTTGCACTCAGTATGTGCTTCAACTTACAAGTGCTTTTCTACCTCTGTATACCACTGTATGCTATTGTGGGCCATCTGGTCTTCAGGGGCTGCCTTCGCTGATCAAATCCTGGGAGTCAGCTGGTACCAGTGTCCCATTTGGAAGGCCCAGCACCCTACTACCACAGCGTATTTGATAATGCCAGTGGCTTGAATGACACTTCACAGAAACCAACAGAGAAATGGGCTTGGCAAGATTTGAGTTGAGAGGTGGCTCACACCTCTGCACTGCCAGCCTCAAGGAGGTCAAGGAGCTCCAAGAACTGAGCAGAGAGACTGTACTAAAGGTAAAGCCTTCCTTGTACTTGAGCCCATACTGCTATTTTGAACATGGCTGTTTGTCGCAGCCTGTGCATATATTTTTTGCTCATTTTCCATATTGGGAAGATTTTGAATGCACTGGAGGAGGAGGAGGAGGAGAAAAATATGCTGACACTGCTACACCCAGTATATGTTTTTGCAATAAAGAACACTGGTCAATATACAACTCAGGAAAAACTGAACCAGATGTGAGTCCTAGAACCACAAGCGTTTGAATTTGCCCAGAAATGCTATTTAAAACACTCTATATGTTGATCTACTTTTTTTAAAAAAAATAATGTATTCTTGGCATCCTTAAGAGGTTTCAGTATGTTACAAGGTCATCTGGAAAGAAAAAAAGCAAAGAGCTGAAGGACCAATCCATGCAGCACTGACCAGCCTCAGCGTACATTTTCACAAAGCATAAGCACACGTATGAACTGCACTTAACACAACAAACCTTCAATTTCCAAAGCTTTCATTCTCTGTGGACTGAGGCTTTTTTTTTTTTCCCTGTAAAAATCGCTATCGAAGGGGCAGAGGAGCATCACACATGGTCCACAGTAAATCCAAAGAGAGAGGGGCAACCGTCGCAGTGGTAACCACAAAGACACATTGGCGGGGGGGGGCTAAAACGCTGGTCATGGATAAAAGCATGTGCTGTTTTAGCTCTTCTCTGAGATGTTACAATAGCAACACGCTCTAAAACAATTAAGTTTTATGCATAATGCTAAAGGAATGTGAGCAATCCTACAACCAGCTTTAAGCCATCTGCTTGATTTTTTGGTTTTTTTAGAAACATATATAGGAAAAGAGAATTCCCTTTTTGTTCTGCTGCATATAGAAATCTTTTGAAGCTTCCAAATAGTTTGGCTTTTGTAAAATTCTCCACTCTTCCATTATTTTAACATGTAGTTATCCTAGACTAGCCCTCACAATGTCTCCAAAAGTCTCCATGTGAGTTATCTAAACGACAACTGAAACCATTTACCAATATACAAGTAACATTTTATTTTATATTCTATCTTCCATTGGCATAAGCCTCTCAATGCTTATTTTTTAAACCAGTGAAATATACAAATCACACAAGACAGAAATATGTACATTAAAAGTACAGATAAAGGCCATAGAAGATATACATAATATCTGAATGACACGTAGAATATTTTACATTAAATAGTTTCTTTTAAAAGCTAGGATCGTTAAACTCAACTCTGTTCATAAACATGAATCACTAAAAAGGAACACAATCTGATTTAGCAAATAAAAAAAGTACTTCATGGTTTTTGTAGAATAAAAACCAAAAAAGTGACATTTTAAACTCAATAGTGCTTTTTAATTTCAAGATCTTTTGCTTGCAATTCACTGCAGCTGGGGGGAAGTGAATATCCTTGTGCAATAAATTAAGAGCTCCTTGGCTGAGGGGAGACAAAATGAAGGCCACGGAGCCCAGGAAGGGTACAGGAGAGGCGCATTTTGGCAAACCTTTAAAACAATGACCATCTGTGACAAGAACACGTTTGATGGCGCTTTCGGGAAAGAGGTGTCCTTATTTAAAAATTTTTTTAACTAGCTGTCTATCCAGTGAGCTGGGTTCTCCTTAGGGACTCAAACGAGTACCACCAGATTGAACAGGCACCCATTTCCACGCTGTGGGACAAACTAAGCAAAGCAAAACAATCAGGATGCTTCTAGGTTGTATCTATTAATGTCCATGTCTGTGACGAACACATAACGCCCTCTCCACAGAGTCTATAGAAAGGGAACTGAGGGGAGGACGTTGGCAGGAAGGAGAAAAGCAACCTGCAATGTGCATTTCAGCGAATCAGACTGCTGAGCTTCCTCAGAAACAAGCTTGTTTCCTGGTGCTCAGGGTTTGATCCCAGCAGGGCCACAGGCCAAAGGTGAGACTCAAAACACATTTGGAAAAATCCCAACCGGTCTGCAGTAAAGGACGACAATACTCCAGACAGAAACAAGCCCCGAGTAAACTGTAAATATAAATCCTGGCTGCACTGAGATATAATTATATTTATATTTATATTTATATATGTATATGTATATATATGATATGTACAAAAGACTTGAGATACCAGGCACCATTAAAAGATATACATCGCTCCCTTATAAATGCAACTGTTCCAGTACCTCAGGAACAGCCTCAGAGTGCACCTGCAGTGTAACAGGGAAAACACAGGTGGGTAAACACAGGATTCCAACAGCGAAACACTGTGACACCTCCATGGACTCTGCCAGCTAAGTACTGTTACCAAAGCATAGGAAGTTACTGTGCCTTGAAGTAAAAGATTTAGGAAGAAAAAGATCCCTAAGTAGCAAACTGTTTTCCGGAACTCCTCATGTTTCATTTCCTGTCCTACAATCGAAAGGGACCCAGTGGAGCTGCCTTTTGGAAGCGTGGCCAGCGTAACACCATAGCACAGAGGGACCAGAGAGGGCCTCGGGTCAAGTAGGAAGGTGGCTTTCACTTTTTCCCCCCGAAATGGGTTTTTGTGTTCTGCACGCAATTATCCTGATGCCCTGGCTGACGCTCTGTGGGTGGAATTCATGTCCCGTTCCTATTAGCCCTAAGAACCCAGCACTATCTCCCAAACATGCCAAGATACTGCTCTTTATATCCAACACCTCCTTCCCGACAAAAAGACTGGCATCCTTTGAGGGTAACATCTTCAAATCTCCAGCTAGGAGGTTTCAATTTTTCTCATTTCTGGAGACTTTTCTGCTCCCCAAGTTTTTTACTTAACTGCTCCCCAGGTTTCATAAACTATTAGACCAGAAACAATCTGCAGATGGGATGTTTGGGAGGAATGAGGCACCTGCTACACCTGTCTTTCTCTGAAGATACAAGATGCTTGCTTATATTTCAAATCATTACTTTGAACATATGAAAAGCAGGCTGGTGGCCCCTAGGAGAGTGGGTTGCTCTCATCTTCTGTGTTTTTGTTTTGTTTTCTCGAGACCTTTTATCTTGCACCAGAGCGTTTACAGTTCATTTTCGTCACAGGAGCTGAATCATGCACACATTTGTACCACCCGGCACCAGCTGGACCCTACCCATCCCGATGACTCTACGGCAAAGAAAAATGTGTACTTCCTTTACCTCCTGGCCGTGTGTTACAGCCACACAGCTAAGCTAGGGTTCGCGTTACTTCCCTCTCGGCCTATGCTACCAGAAGCTTTGTATTTCCTTTTCAAAGATCCACAAAATAAATATTTTTCTCGGTTCCCACCCCTGTTATTGCCAAATAATAATTATAATATTAATAACAAACCACAGAGTTTTCAGATGGTAAAAGAAAAAAAAATATGGTTCCAGCTGCAATTCTTGAAGAAAAATAAAACATATTTTAAAAAGAAGAAGAACCAAAATCACTGTACTTTCTATAAATAAGTGGGTCCTGGGCACGGGGCGGGGCGACGGGTAGGCACCCACTACTTGCACACGAACTGGTCCACGATCTCAGTGCACTTCTTGCACTTGACGTAGCAGCACCAGTGGAACTTGCAGTGGCAGCGCTCGGTCTGCACCGTCTTGAACTGGTCGTAGCCGCGGCCGCAGCACATGAGCTCGCAGCCGTCCATGCCCTCCGAGGTCTTGTTGCACAGGCGGCCCTGCGTGCCCAGCGAGCCCGTGCTCTCGTTCCGCACGCAGTAGTCGGGGCTGGGGTCGATGTAGACCAGGTCCTGCGTGGTGGGCGAGTTGAAGCGGCTGTTGACCTGCACCAGCTTGCCTCGGCTGTTGAGCCGCATTGCTGCGGCGCTGTCATATTTCTCCTTCAGTGCGTCGCCCACCTTGCGGAAGTCCGCCAGCTGCAGCCAGCAGGTCTTGAGGCTGCAGGAGCCGGACACCCCGTGGCATTTGCAGGCCACGTCGGCCAGATTGTACACCGTCTGCGGGACAACAGACAAGGTCAGGACTCAGGTTCCAGGAGGACCAAGAGGCACATGCCGGCTGTGCTAACGAAGCTTCCGCTCAATTTTCCCAGAAGCTGCACGGGGGCTGTCTGAGCTCACTCTCCGCTACCACAAGTCTCCTACAGACTTCTTCTAAAACCTCTACGGAACAAATCTGCTCTTAGCCATTCATTACTGTATCATCAACTACCACCACACAGATGTTAAGGGGGGATCAGGAGGGGAAAAAAGTTGTAGTTGTTACTGTATCATCAACTACCACCACACAGATGTTAAGGGGGGATCAGGAGGGGAAAAAATCGTTGCAGTTGCCTCTTCTTTCCCAGGGAAACATGAGCAGAGACACATAAACACGCATCCTTCAGACTGTTCACAATCCCTTTCCTGTGGCCGGACTTTGAAGGTTATCGCCCCATTTCACAGAGAGAGAAAGTGAGGCCAAGAGAGATGGCTCCGAATCAAACCACTGTGAAGTGGGGTACCAGGATATGAACCCAGGGAGTTGGTCTCCAAGCCCAACTCTGGCTTGACCATGGCACCCCGCTGGTGAGTGCAGAGCTGGGACGGGGTCCAGTCCCAGTGGGAATGGGTTCAAACCCTTCCCCGCTCTTCCTATTATGCTGTGTGCCAGACTCTGTCCTAAGACCACCCTAGTCTTCGCCTCACTGAACTATCCCAGCAGCTTTGTAATCAGGCTGGGTCAGAACACTGTACAGTGACAGAGAGGACAGGTGGCCTGCACAAGATGTGCAGCTAGAACAGGAGGAAACGGGGCCTGGCTCTCAGGGATGCTCGCTGCTGCTTCCTGCACAGTCCCTGCCCTGCGGGCTCTCTTCCTTGGAACCAGGCAGTTGTAGTTTCTGCTCCTGCCTCTGCCCTTGAACTTGGAGAACTGACTGAACCTTCTAAGCTTCTGTTTCCTCTGTACAGGGAACTGTGAGGTACCAACCTCCCAGCACCATTACGAGGATGAAATTCGGGGGGCACAGAAAGTGCTAATCTGGTCTTTCTCCGGGGTGATGGGGGCATGGTGTCTGGATTGCTGCCCAGTAGCAACAGCCTCCCGGTAGCAATGCCCATGGGTCTGGCCCCACAGCATTGTGCCCGGCAGTCTGGGAGGCAGCGGTTGTCTATTTATAGTTCCTGCTGCCCACAGCTACCTTTGCCAGCAACCTTCCAGAGTTCCCATGTTGCAGGCATGTTGGCCGGTGCCTGTCAGGAACCTGGAGGCAGCGTCCCCTCAAACAGTTACCTTCTTCCTCCAGGGATTCACAAGGGCTTTCTTTTCAAAGAGGCCAAAGTGTGCTCTCTTGGCACCAAGACTTTGCACACTTGGCTAGCCTGAGGAAGGTTCTGCAAACATATTTAACCTCCCGCTCCCCTTTGAGGAAAACAAAAAGCTAATGCCCTGAAGAAATTCTAATACGATTTCCTGGCAAAGGGCCCACTTCCCACTGCTATCCCCAGCATCCTAGAGAAAAGCTGTCTTCTCTGCAAGCTCACCCTCCAGGGTCCCAGCTCAGCTCCCTGTTCCAGTGCAGGTACGAAATAAAGTCATAACAGCAAGAGTGCTTTCCACTTTCTCCCCAGTCCTCACTCACCACTCAAGGGTCCCTTTACCCTCTCCTTGGCCATCACGCCCAGAAAACAGAAATGGGAAGCACCAGAGTGTTAAGAAACTACCACTGATGGCCGAGCAGGTCTGTGGGCACCCCTGGCTGCACCCCAGAAGACTCAGCACACCTGGCCCCGAGACTTGTGTCACTGACCGGGGTGGCAGACAAGCCCTATGGGTATTCAGAGCCTCGGCTGGACCCCGGACCCCCCCACCACGTTGCCAGTGACAGCCACAGCCCAGAGGTCAGCCCACCCTACAGGTACGGAGGCAGGAGGAAAAGAGGAAGTCACAGTTCTTCTGGAGCCATTATCTGAGCCTTCAGGGCAGCTCCAACAAAACTTGGGAGAGATTACTGCTTCCCTGACACTCCTAAGAATCTGTGGAATCTGAGAAGTAGATTAGTGAGCTGGAATTATCAATACAATATGTGACTTTTCTACAGCCTGTGCACCGTAATGATGAATAATTTAGTAATCATTTATCAAGCACTTACTACCAGCCAATACTAAACTAAAACCTCAGCCGGCTTCAAATGAAATTGTTATTTTGTAGAAATAGTCAAGTGTCAGCAATAGTGTAGGCTTCAAACCACAAGGTGATCTCACTCGGACCTCACAGCAACCCCAAGTGAGAGCTCCTGCCATGGTCCCTGACACAGGGAAATGTGGAAACTGAGGCCCAGAAACCCACGGGACTGGAGAGAAATGGATTTAAACCCACATTTCCCTCATTCCAAAACCTCCCACCCTTCAGCCCGTGAGGGAAGAGTGTAACACAAGTGACCCTCATCTTATATTTCAGTCCATTAATTTTCTTCCACAGTCATGGAGTAGCTCTCTTGGCCTCAGTTTCCCAATCTTTGAGATGAGGGTATAGGATCGAAGGGCCTGTGGCTCCTTCCAGTTCTCTATGGTCTACTCTGTGATTATCTTCCTTCTTCCCTCACCCCAAAATACAGAAGAGTGAAATCCCTGACCAGAAAATTCCTGGCACCTACCTTGGGTTCTGTGAAAAAATAATCTCCCTGGTTTTCAATGCTGCCAAAGTTAGGTTTTCACCCCTTCATTTGAAAGCAGCCATAAAGTGCCATGTGTTGAACCATGGGGAAGAGAGGAGAGGCTTTTAACTACTGTGGAGTAACTTTACATAGCCCACCCAGGGCCCGAAAGAGCAGGACCCAGAAGACTCTGCAGGCCAGGCTGTCCTCTCTGGACACTGCTGTACACCTCCCCTCCAGAGGCCCCTGGCCTGGTGCCTGATGGTCAGATGTATAAAATCCCTCACTGCTAAAAATGCTGTTATTTTCTTAGAAAAACCCTTCGGAAACCCTCAATCTGTCAGGCGCAGTGGCATCTGGAGAGCAGAGAGAAAAGTGGGGGAAAGGCATAAAGCTGGGGTGAGGTTCATCTCAGCAGGACCCCCATTAGGATTCGGATTAATTCTCTCTCACAAATTGGGGACCCCCTCCCCCAAAAAGCCACGTTCCAAGGAAGGGGAGGAGGGAGCTGCTAACATTCCAATTTGTGTTTCTGGGCTCTAACAGCCAGTGGCATCGGGGACTCTCGGAAAAGCCGAGGAAGGGGCACCTAGGCTGGGCTCCAGGAGGGTGGCTCACGCCCTGGGGGGCTCCCTGGCTGCGCACCCTGGGGAGAGGCGGCAGGCAGGGGGGGGGAGAGAAGAGGAAGGGAGCGAGGGGAGGAGAGAGGGAGGGGAGGACGACGAGACAGGGAGCGGAAAGATCCTTGAAGGCAGGAAAAGGAGAAAGCGGGAGACCCCGAGACCCAGGGAGACGGGGTGGGCTGGGCACTCACCCTTCGGCCCGCCTCGTTGTTGTGCAGGTTCATGAGGATGCGTGCGCTCTCGTAGGAGCCCTTGGCGTGGATGCGCTCCCGCTCGCGCGCGTCCACGAACTCCTTGGCGAAGCGGTAGCCGTAGTCGATGTTGTCGCCGCAGCCGCCCCACAGCCAGTCCCGAGGCAGGTCCCCCGGATGTGCTACCCAC